TTCTCATACCCTATCCTGACAATTTTCTCCTTACCGTTCCTCGCAGCTGCATCCCTGAAAGCCACCACCCTCCTGAAACGTATCCTGAAAGATCCTGCAGTTATTCTCACCTCCACAGGAGGGATGCGGGAGGAGTGGGTGTGTGTGCAGACCGTGTGCGAGAAGGCACAGGGGAACCGGTTCGAACAAGCAGCGGCTCACGTTGCATCTGCCAAGCACAAGGGGGGTCTGCGAACGGAAGGAGCGGCAACCCGCGCCAGCAAGCATTCCCAGAGGATGGCTGCTTTCAAGAAGGACTTCATTGTCAAGCAGTCAGCGAAGTGAACAGCGGCCTGGTCACGTGCACCTCGATGAGAGGGGGGGAGGCAACAGGATGGTTTCTGGGAGCAGGTTGTGTAGTCGGTGCCATGCTCTCTTTCGCTGTAGCTGGCTGTATCGTCGCAATAAAACTCAATCGCCCGTGGATGCTGTGGGGCTCAAAGGAGTGGTCAAATGAATAAGCACAACTACCTAACTATTCTCGAGCTCAACATCAACGGGCTCGGTAGCAGCGGGAAACAAGAACGGTGTGCAGCATGGATCAGGAAAGCAGCGAGCATTGTAGTACTCACAGATACGCGTGTTCCAGCCGATCACAATTTCTGGACGCAAATTAGATCAGAGGCTCAGGCGGTGGTTGGCCCATCGCAGAGAGCAGGAGGGGTAGCGGTCTTAGGCTTCCTGCCTGGGATGCGGTTCACAGAAGTCAGCAAACATGCATCTGGTCGACTCTTGAGCCTGCTGGTATCCTGGCGGGATCTGAAGTGCAGAATAGTGGCAGCGTATCTACCGGCGCATGCAACCGCTAGGGGTATCTTCTTCCGGGATGAGCTATCCCCCTTCGTACAAAGCCTGGACGCCTCCCCCCATACAGTCCTCATAGGAGACCTGAATGTTGTAGCAGATCCGGAGCTGGATAAGTCCTTGAAGCTGGGGACTCCGGCAGAGAACCAGAAACTTCTGCAGATTTGCTCGAGATGGGATCTGCAGGATGCATTCCGGAGTCTTCACCCGACGCGCAAGGAGTTTACTTTTTTCTCCAGATCTGCAAGGACGAGCACACGGATTGACAGGGCATTAGTTTCACTCTCCCTGCTCGGAAGTGTAACGGAGGCGAAGCATTGTATGGTACCCTACGGTCTGACTGACCACTGGTTTGCGGTGAAGGTGTCGCTCAAGGCGGCGGCAGCGGATGATCATGGTCCTGGCTTGTGGAGGCACCAAACGTCTCGGCCCGGGGGTGATGGGGTCAAGAACATCATCTCAGCGGCGGTGGCGGCGCATGAGAGCAGCTCAGATCAAAGCCTGGAGAGACTTGTGATGAACCTGCGAGCATGCATGCGGGCTCATGTAGCAGAAGAGAGGAAGAGGGTGAGAGCGACCTTGGCACATTTGGAGAAGAAGGTGGAAGAGCTGCGGTGGAAAGTGATGGCTGACGCGAAATCGCAAGTCTTGTACGAGGAGCTGGTCAAGGCTGAAGCAGCGCTCAAACTCTATCAAGACAGTAGCAAGGAGCGGCTGCAGGTCATGACGGGGCTGCTGATGGAGTTGGCGAGCGAGACGCCCTCCGGTTTTCTGTCGGGGCTGGTCAAATCGAGAAAGGCAAAGACGGAGATTCTGGAGTTAGTACTCAAGGGGGTGTAAAGGAAAGGGGCGAAAGAGGTGTTGCAGGCGGCTTCAGAGCATTTCAGAGAAGCGTATGCGGAGTCAGCGCCAAACCATACCATGGAGCCGTGGCCAATAGATGAGAGCAGAATGCTGCAGGAGAAGGACCAACTGCAACTAGGAGCGGAATGGTCAGAAGAGGAGGTGAAAGCGGCGCTCAAGGGTCTACCATTGGGGAAAGCCCCGGGGCAAGACGGCCTACCGAAGGAATTTTTTGAGCACCACTGGGAGCTACTCGGCCCGGCTGTGATGAAGGAGGTTAAGGGCTTCGAGTCGACCGGGGTACTCTCGGAGGCGTTCACAACTGCGGTCACCATCCTGCTACACAAGAAAAGAGACAGATGTGATTTGGGCAATTATAGGCCGATCACTTTGCTGAGCTTCTTCTACAAGTTACTGGCGAAAGTGATGGCGAACAGGATCAAACTCGTCTTACCGCGGGTGATCTCGGACAAGCAATTCGGCTTCCTTCCGGGGAGGAGCCTTGCTGACGCGGTCTCGCTGGTAGCAGATGTAATTGACGCTGCGGAGGAGGAGGATGAAGATTGGCTGCTGCTGCTGGTGGACTTTCAAAAAGCTTACGATTCCGTGTCGAGAGATTACCTGTTCAAGACGCTAGGTGACATGGGCTTCCCGGAGAAATATGTGCGCTGGGTAAGAGGTCTGCACGACGGAGCAGCAACCAAGATGCTGCTGAACGGTTGGGTAGGAGATCGTGTGCGATGGACAAGGGTGTGCGACAAGGTTGTCCGCTCGCCCCGTATCTCTTCCTTTGCGCGGTGGAGCCACTCTGCCAGGAAATAGGGAGGAGAAATCTGGGAGTTCGGAAACGGGGGGTGAAGGGGGAGCTAGCCTACATCGGATACGCTGATGATACGACTCTCGTTCTGAGAGGGAAGGAGCAAGTGGTTACAGCGGGAAAGCTGCTCGACGAATTTGCGGAAATTTCGGGGCTGAGGGTGAACAGCAGCAAAACGACACTGATGCCGCTGGGGAAGAATAGGAGGAGGCTGCAGCCGATAGCGTCACCTTTCACGTGGGCTGACAAGGACAAGTCGGAGCGGTTACTCGGAATCTGGATAACATCTGGTGGGTCGCCGGGTCCTGCATGGGACAAAGCATTTGAAAAGGTCAGCGCGGTGCTGAGCTGTTGGGAATCAAAGCATCTCAAGACGTCGGCGAGAGTCACAATTATTAACAGCTACGCGATGCCGATCTTGCTGTTCCAAGCACAGATCTACGCCCCGCCGCATGATATCTGGACCAAGGTGAAACGGCTATGTCACAACTTCATCTCGGGTGGAAGAGCGCTTCTTGATCGACACTTCACCCTTTGGAGTTACGAGCTGTCGTGCAGGGGAAGGAAAGAAGGGGGTCTGGGAGTGATTGATCTGAAGCAGCGGATTGACAGCATTGTGATACAGAATTTGGGAAAAGTTCTGACGGAACAGGTGCCGCTGCGGAACTGGTTATGGGAGAGAGCGGCCGGCTTCCCACTCGGGCTGGCCACGATTTACGCCCATCCCTCAGTGCTGAAGCATTGGCTGGGCGGGGGTACGAGGTGGAAGGCGGCAGTGAAGGCGCTGTGGGAATCGAAGATCGTGACCATGGGCGACCCTATACACAGATGGGATGCGGAGGAGGAGCAGCTGCTTTTTAACCGCAAGATATTCTTCAGGGGCGGTTCGCCTTTCGGAAACCAGGCGGGCTCGCACTGTTTGAAGGGTGTCCGTCTGGGGGACCTGATAGCCAAAGGTGCAAATGGCAGCAGAAGTCTCAAAAGTGAGGTGGTCTTGGAACAGGAGCTGGGAGGTGCGGAACAGAGGAAGTGGGCTCTCAAAGCATGGGAAGCAACGCCCCAGAGGTGGAGGGATTTGCTACTCAACCAATTGACAGCGGAAGAGGTTTTTAGGGAGACGGCGCTTATTTGCTCACCGTCTTCCGGCCGGGAAAGTTCCTCTACTACCAGCTGGAACACGTGGAAGACGGCGTGTTGTACGGGAGGATGGTGGAAGTGGATAAAAAAGGTTTCATATCGGTGGTGAGGTACGCTGACGCGACGACGGTGAATTTCCTACGAGCTACGCCCATGGCGGTCATTGACGGGAGAGTCCGCGGCCCGCTTGGAACCCCGAGAACAAGGCTGCTATACACTCCGATCTGTGAAAAAGGGGAGCGAGCCGGGCTGAAGCAGCTGAGGAAGATGATGAAACCCTCTTTGTCTCAGCCAAAGCAGCAGTTGCGGTGGGAGGAGGTGACAGGGAAGAAAATCGATTGGGGGAAGGCCATCACGGTCCGGGACTCTTTGGCAACCCCATGCAGAGCGAGGGAGGTGGTGCTGAGGCTGCACAGCAACAACCTGCAAGTGGAGGAGAGGCTCCCTTTCCTGGGGGAGAGGGCGAAATGTGTGTACTGCGGAGGGGTGGAGTCGCAGGATCACTGTTTATTCAGCTGCCCGGCGATCCAGCCAGTGGTCAGGGTAATGAAGGGTGCGGTACAGTGCATGAATCCGGGCAGGGAAATGAAGTCCCTCGGAGACATGTTGTTCCAGAAGAGTGGCACGTCGTCAGGTTTTCCGGAAGCAGCCATCATTTCAATTACAGCACAGCAAGTGTGGCTGGAGAGGTGCAATGCGGTGTTCCGTGGCAGCCGGTTTCAGCCTAAGAGAGCACTGAGGCACATAGCGGTTGGCTTTACAAGACACGTGAAGTTTTACAGCAGAGTGCGGAAACGGTCGGCTGGCAAGAGTGGTTCGAAGAGGACAGGGGAGTGGAGTCATCTGAATGCTGACGAGGCAAAAGCTTTGAACAGATTGTACGAGACCGAAGCCTCGATGATGTGGAGAGCAGGTTTCAAGGCCATATGGGAAGATGGCGGTGTAGCCTTTCAGCCCCCGTAAGGTGGAAGGGGGGGCCTGGTTACCTGTAGCCACTTGCATGCCCTCCTAGAATCAGTTACGACTGCGAGTGTATGTATACATGTAGTGTACTTATGCTCACCAAAAAAAAAAAAAAAAAAAAAAAAAAAAAAACCTCTCCTCAATTGTCTTTGATTGGGTGTTTTTTCCAAGTGATCGTCTCTCCCATCTTCAACCCAACCGCATGTTGTCATTGTTGCCACTTCATAATATATCGGCTACATTCTCTCTTGAACAAGTGCGGCTTCGTTTAGGTTCCCAGACGTCGATTTTAGCTTGCTCCCCTGACGTTATCGTCGTGTCAGTCCTAACTTATTTTAAGTAATTTTCCTGTTCAGTTCGGCCATGACTCTCGCCTGATAAGCTCAAGCTGTTTCATATGGACGTACAAAGGTATGGAACTCTTTCCTGCTTAAAAGAGGACCTTATCTCGCGGTTTGTTGCGATAATTTACTTTCTTGGAATACCCCTTTGTGCTCGTAACGAATAACGGCGAAAAACGCAAAAGTAGAACCAGGCTGCATTGTCTCCTTTTATATTTATCATTATTGAGCGCCTGACTTGTCTTCGTGCCGTGAACTGTGTTAGAGACAGAATTTTAAGCGTCCAATGCAAGCCAGCGACGAATTCTAGTGTTACCATTGCAATGCAGTTATGCCAAGTTAGTCTGTGAAAAATGAATGAAACGAAATAAAAAGAAAATGTGTATTTTGTGAGTGAACATGTCGTGTCAATCGACGCTCATTGTTCTCTTCTGCTGGTTGCACAAAGAACGACATCTTTCCCTTCTTGCGTCGGCTAAAAAATCGAAAAATCGATTCAAACAATTGAGTCGACAAAAAAAATATGACAATTCTCCCTTCTAGTGTACAAGTTCTCCGCAAATAATGTTTTGCACTATCTTTCGTTATTCTGCCCAGATCTCGCGAGAGATTCGCGCGGCTGTTGGCGGGGGACGCGGATGGCGCGCAGCAGCTCGGCGCGCAGCAGCAGGGGGAGGGTGGGGAGTCGTCCAGGGACGGCAATGACAGCACAGATCCGCTTCTGCTGTCTATGCTGACGTGGCACCAGGACATCACGTATGCGGTAAGAACAGGGCGGAAAGTCTAGCTGAGCTTCGAATATCTTCTTATTCTATTCGGAGACTGGCATTCGTTATTGTCAGCAGATGAATAAAAATCTTGTTTCAAATATTACTCATCGGCTTTTTACTGAAAGTCCACCGATCGGTTCTTCCCTCCCTCTCTCCCATTCCGTCTTCCCTTCCGTCTCTCCCGTCCCTGTCCTCACCCGGCCGTGCAGTTGCATCATCCTCCCATTTCTCCCTGTGCCTTTCTCCCTAACTTGATTTTCTCAAAACGTCCTTCCTCCCCCCTCAACCCCCCCCTCAACCCCCCCCTCAACCCCCCCCTCAAACCCCCCCCCCCCCCCCCTCCCTTCTCATCCGTCCCTTCTCATCCTTCTCCTCCTCCCCTCCCCCCCTTCCACCTCCCTCTCCCCCTCTCTCCCCAGCTCTGCACGTACACAGACGACCTCTGCGAGCAGCATACCGCCCACGAGCGCCACATAAAGCTGCATCCCTTTTTTACTCTTTCCCTCCCCTTTCCCTCTCTCTGCTCGCTTCCTCGCCCCAGCTCTGCACGTATACAGACGACCTCTGCGAGCAGCATACCGGCCGCGAGCGCCACACTAAGCTGCATTCCTTCTTTACTCTTTCTCTCCCATTCCCCTCCCTCTCCCCACCCCCTCTCCCTCCTCCCCCTTCTCCCCCAGCTCTGCACGTACACAGACGACCTCTGCCAGCAGTACACCGCCCGCCAGGCCGTGCTTAGCTCACACATGCCTTTCTTTCTCATCCCCCCACTCTCTCCCTCCCCCCCTTCTCCCCCAGCTCTGCACGTACACAGACGGCCTCTGCCAGCAGCATCGGAATGCCGAGGCTGGGAATGCCGAGGCTGGGAATGCCGGGACTGGGAGTGCCGAAGCTGGGAATACAGAGGAAGCAGGGGCGACAAACAAAGCAGCAGCGGTGACAGAAGAGGGCGGAGGCGAAGCGGACCGCCAGGGTTCGATTCCTGCCGCTGTCAAAGCAGCAGTGCTGGCGGAACTACAGAGTAACGGATATCTCAAGGCATTCCAGACACTTGTATCTGAGGGTCAAGGACTGGTTGAGCAGGCGCGGGGGAACTTGGGGGAGCGGGCGGAGGGGGAAGGATCAGGGGAGGGGGAAGGAACGGGGGCGAGGGAGGGGCAGGGGAAGTTGATGGTGGAGGGGGGCTGGCGGGGGGAGTTGGCGCTTCCACTGCTGGATATGTTTGGAACGGTGCATAGGCTGAAAGGGAGGGTGGCGGAGTGGGTGGGGGGGTGCGAGCGGGCGGGGGAAAGCGGGACGGAAAGTGGGGAAGCGAGTGAGGAAGCGAATGAGGGGGCGGGGGAGGCATTGGAGGAGGAGGTGGGGGAGGGGGAGCGGTTGTGGGTGCAGCTGGAGGAGGAGGTAGCAGCGGCAGCCATGGCCGCGCTACAGGCGGGCAGGGACGAGATCATGGCGGAGGTCAGAGCCGTGGCGGCTGAATGCACTCAGCTGCTGGGCGAGGGTGGCGGGTGAGTGAGTGTGTGTGGGTTTGGCCTTTGAGACTGGTGATTAGTCTTGATAGGGCGCTCGTGGGTGCGCCGAGCTGCACTGCAGGCGGGCAGGGATGGGATCATGGCGGAGGTCAAAGCCGTGGCGGCTGAATGCACTCAGCTGCTGGGCGAGACGGGCGGGTGAGTGTGTGGAGGGGAGGGGATGTGGGGAGCAAACGGAGTGAGCGACGGGTGAGTGGGTGCGTGGATCACTGTAGAGTGCACGCTGAGTGATCAGAGCCGTGGCAGCCGAATGCACTCAGCTGCTGGGCGAGACGGGCGGGTGAGTGGCCGCGGGAGGGGGGGTTGAGTGAGTGGGTGGGTGGGTGGGGGATGAGTGGCGGGCGGGTGAGTTAGAGCCATGGCCGCATTGCAGGCGGGCAGGGATGAGATCATGGCGGAGGTCAGAGCCGTGGCGGCTGAATGCACGCAGCTTCAGGGCGAGGCGGGCGGGTGAGTGGGGGCGAGGCAGGGCAAGGGGGAGCGGCACGCCACCCTGCTTCCCTCTTCCTTTATCTGCCCACTTCCCATCCCTCCCCTCCTTCCCTCCCAGATTCAAGCAAGCAGTCACCCTGCGCCGGCAGTACAGCAGCAACGCGGGCAAGGGGAGCGCCAAGCCACCCTGCTTCCCTCTTCCTCCCCTGTCTGCCCACTCTCGTCCCCCTCCTTCCCTCCCCCCTCCCAGCTTCAAGCAAGCAGTCACCCTGCGCCGGCAGTACAGCAGCAAGGCGGGCAAGGGGAGCCCCAAGCTTGGGGGGGGGAAGAGCGGGAAGGCAGGGGTGGGGATGGTGAGCGCGGGAGCGGACCCGCTGACTGTCTTTGTGGTGGACCGGATCCGGCAGTTCTGCAGCTGGTGAGTGGTGTAAGGGGCTACGGGAAGGTGATGAGGTAGAATGTGGAACTTGGAGCAGGGAGTGCTGCTGAATCCCCTCCCTCATGGGAGCGGACCCGCTGACTGTCTTTGTGGTGGACCGGATCCGGCAGTTCTGCAGCTGGTGAGTGGTGTAAGGGGCTACGGGAAGGTGATGAGGTAGAATGTGGAACTTGGAGCAGGGAGTGCTGCTGAATCCCCTCCCTCATGGGAGCGGACCCGCTGACTGTCTTTGTGGTGGACCGGATCCGGCAGTTCTGCAGCTGGTGAGTGGTGTAAGGGGCTACGGGAAGGTGATGAGGTAGAATGTGGAACTTGGAGCAGGGAGTGCTGCTGAATCCCCTCCCTCATGGGAGCGGACCCGCTGACTGTCTTTGTGGTGGACCGGATCCGGCAGTTCTGCAGCTGGTGAGTGGTGTAAGGGGCTACGGGAAGGTGATGAGGTAGAATGTGGAACTTGGAGCAGGGAGTGCTGCTGAATCCCCTCCCTCATGGGAGCGGACCTGCTGACTGTCTTTGTGGTGGACCGGATCCGGCAGTTCTGCAGCTGGTGAGTGTTATAAGGCATATGCGAGTGTACTGTAAAGGGTACGCACGAAGGCGCCGTCTAGTCTAGCAGACCCGCTGGCTGTCTTTGTGGTGGACCGCATTTGACAGTTCTGCAGCTGGTGAGTGCAGCGGGTGAGTCTTAAGAGTAGAGGGTATGCACGGGGACCCTGACTGGCTGTCGGGCCCTGTTGTAGTGAGCGCGGGGGCATACCCGCTGGCTGTCTTTGTGGTGGACCGGATCCGGCAGTTTTGCAGCTGGTGAGTGTTTGCATTGGATTCGCGGCAGCTGGTGAGTGTTAGTCTTGTTATTCTCTGTACCTGGTGCCTCATAACGCCTATGGGACCAGCATTTCCTGTTGCTGTGAGTGTGGGGCAGACCCCCTGGCTGTCTTTATGCTGGACCGGATCCGGCAGTTCTGCAGCTGGGGAGTCTTTCAAGGCACACTCAGGGGGGGGTCTGTAAAGGGTACGTACGAAGGCCTGCCCTGCTGTCCACGGCCTGTTGTGGTGAGGGGGTGGTGAGCGCGCGGGCGGGCGGACACCCCCTGACTGTCTTTGTGGTGGACCGGATCCAGCAGCTCTGCAGCTGGTGAGACCTTGGTATCTGAACCTCGGACTCAGTGACTGACTAATTGACTGACTGACTAACTGACTGACCAACTGACTGACTGACTAACTGACTGACTGTCTTTGTGGTGGACTGTATTCGGCAGCTGTGCAGCTGGTGAGACGTCTAAGGAGCCATTGGGGCCAGGGTGGACGGGGTGATGGGGCGATGGGTTGACTGACAGGGCGATGGGGTGATGGGTGGATGGGTGGATGGGGTGATGGGTTGACTGACAGGGCGATGGGGGCGGGGGTGGTGCTAGGGAGCACCAAGCACGCGCTGCTAGGAGCACACAGCATCAGCTCCGCCCCCTTCCTCCGCCTCTGCCTCATCTGAATTCTCTGGTCTCAGCTCTCTGTTCCTCTTTCCCCATTGTTCCCCCATCCCCCCCTCCCCCTCCCCCCCAGGGACATCAAGCACGCACTGCTAGGAGCACACAGCATCAGCTCCGCCCCCTCCTCTGCCTCCGCCTCCTCTTCCAAGCGCTCCTCTCTCAAGCGTCTCACCAGGAATGGGGGTGAGTTCTCTTTGCAAGCGTGCAGGGCTGTTTATGGGGGCTGATAGCACTCTCCCTCCCTCCGTAATATCCTTTCCCACTTCTCCCCCTTCGCCCCACAACCCCTCCCCATGCACAGATGATGGCATCCATAGGCGCACCCACCACGGGCATTTCTTCTGCCGAGTTCCAGAAAAGGTACGATGTGAAGATGGGATGAATTGGGATGAGGTGGGATGAGTTCAATGGGTTCATTCATAGTGTCTGAAAAAAAAAAAAAAAAAACAACAACAACAACAACAAACAAACAAACAAACAACAAGGATTTGGGGTTTTTTCTTTTTCTTCCAGACTGTTTTATATCTCGCCTGCCGAGCTCTGAAAATGGCAAGCTTGCAGATGAGACAAGTGAGTTGGTGCATAGAAGCCACTCTCCACGCTTGGCTTCTCTGGGAGTGAAATATCTTCTCACCCCCCCTCCCCAACCTCGCTTCCCTCGCCAATGCTTCTTCCTCCTCTGTTCTCCTTCAGACTTGACGCATTCCATGTTGCATTTGAGAAGCTCTGTTGTGCAAACAAGTTCCACATGCACGACCTAATGATGCGCACGCAACCTTTCTCACCCTCCATCCCCCTCTTACTCCCTTCCCGTACACCCCTCTTCCAGACTGGATGCATTCGGCGTGGCATTCGAGGAGCTCTGTTTCAACATGCGCCGATTCCACCCACGTGATCCACTCAGTTGCCGCATGCAACCTTGCTCACCCTCCGCCCCCAATTACTCCCTTCCCATCCATCCATCCATCCATCCATCCATCCATCCATCCATCCATCCATCCATCCATCCATCCATCCATCCATCCATCCATCCATCCATCCATCCATCCATCCATCCATCCATCCATCCATCCATCCATCCATCCATCCATCCATCCATCCATCCATCCATCCATCCATCCATCCATCCATCCATCCATCCATCCATCCATCCATCCATCCATCCATCCATCCATCCATCCATCCATCCATCCATCCATCCATCCATCCATCCATCCATCCATCCATCCATCCATCCATCCATCCATCCATCCATCCATCCATCCATCCATCCATCCATCCATCCATCCATCCATCCATCCATCCATCCATCCATCCATCCATCCATCCATCCATCCATCCATCCATCCATCCATCCATCCATCCATCCATCCATCCATCCATCCATCCATCCATCCATCCATCCATCCATCCATCCATCCATCCATCCATCCATCCATCCATCCATCCATCCATCCATCCATCCATCCATCCATCCATCCATCCATCCATCCATCCATCCATCCATCCATCCATCCATCCATCCATCCATCCATCCATCCATCCATCCATCCATCCATCCATCCATCCATCCATCCATCCATCCATCCATCCATCCATCCATCCATCCTCCAGGCTCGATGCATTCAACGTGCACGACTCAGTGGCGCGCACGCAGATCCGCGGCGTGTGTCACGAGCGCATCCTCTCCTCCTACAAGGAGTTCCTCATGCCCTTCAGGTAACACACGTTTGGCTCCCCCTTCGGCTCAAGGTAACCCCCCTTCAGGTGACGCGCCTTTGCACTTTGGGGAGTTCCCGGTGCAAGCCTGCCCTGCAGGTAAGGTGCAGGTAGTGTGATTCCACGTGCATGACTCAGTGGCGCGCACGCAGATCCGCGGCGTGTGTCACGAGCGCATCCTCTCCTCCTACAAGGAGCTCCTCATGCCCTTCAGGTAACACACGTTTGGCTCCCCCTTCGGCTCAAGGTAACCCCCCTTCAGGTGACGCGCCTTTGCACTTTGGGGAGTTCCCGGTGCAAGCCTGCCCTGCAGGTAAGGTGCAGGTAGTGTGATTCCACGTGCATGACTCAGTGGCGCGCACGCAGATCCGCGGCGTGTGTCACGAGCGCATCCTCTCCTCCTACAAGGAGTTCCTCATGCCCTTCAGGTAACACACGTTTGGCTCCCCCTTCGGCTCAAGGTAACCCCCCTTCAGGTGACGCGCCTTTGCACTTTGGGGAGTTCCCGGTGCAAGCCTGCCCTGCAGGTAAGGTGCAGGTAGTGTGATTCCACGTGCATGACTCAGTGGCGCGCACGCAGATCCGCGGCGTGTGTCACGAGCGCATCCTCTCCTCCTACAAGGAGCTCCTCATGCCCTTCAGGTAACACACGTTTGGCTCCCCCTTCGGCTCAAGGTAACCCCCCTTCAGGTGACGCGCCTTTGCACTTTGGGGAGTTCCCGGTGCAAGCCTGCCCTGCAGGTAAGGTGCAGGTAGTGTGATTCCACGTGCATGACTCAGTGGCGCGCACGCAGATCCGCGGCGTGTGTCACGAGCGCATCCTCTCCTCCTACAAGGAGTTCCTCATGCCCTTCAGGTAACACACGTTTGGCTCCCCCTTCGGCTCAAGGTAACCCCCCTTCAGGTGACGCGCCTTTGCACTTTGGGGAGTTCCCGGTGCAAGCCTGCCCTGCAGGTAAGGTGCAGGTAGTGTGATTCCACGTGCATGACTCAGTGGCGCGCACGCAGATCCGCGGCGTGTGTCACGAGCGCATCCTCTCCTCCTACAAGGAGTTCCTCATGCCCTTCAGGTAACACACGTTTGGCTCCCCCTTCGGCTCAAGGTAACCCCCCTTCAGGTGACGCGCCTTTGCACTTTGGGGAGTTCCCGGTGCAAGCCTGCCCTGCAGGTAAGGTGCAGGTAGTGTGATTCCACGTGCATGACTCAGTGGCGCGCACGCAGATCCGCGGCGTGTGTCACGAGCGCATCCTCTCCTCCTACAAGGAGTTCCTCATGCCCTTCAGGTAACACACGTTTGGCTCCCCCTTCGGCTCAAGGTAACCCCCCTTCAGGTGACGCGCCTTTGCACTTTGGGGAGTTCCCGGTGCAAGCCTGCCCTGCAGGTAAGGTGCAGGTAGTGTGATTCCACGTGCATGACTCAGTGGCGCGCACGCAGATCCGCGGCGTGTGTCACGAGCGCATCCTCTCCTCCTACAAGGAGCTCCTCATGCCCTTCAGGTAACACACGTTTGGCTCCCCCTTCGGCTCAAGGTAACCCCCCTTCAGGTGACGCGCCTTTGCACTTTGGGGAGTTCCCGGTGCAAGCCTGCCCTGCAGGTAAGGTGCAGGTAGTGTGATTCCACGTGCATGACTCAGTGGCGCGCACGCAGATCCGCGGCGTGTGTCACGAGCGCATCCTCTCCTCCTACAAGGAGCTCCTCATGCCCTTCAGGTATCGCGTCTTTCCTACCCACTCACTCCCCCTCCCTTTCAACTGCAACTGTACCGCCCTCTTCACCCCTCCTCCCTCTGCTGTGTCACGAGCGCATCCTCTCCTCCTACAAGGAGTTCCTCATGCCCTTCAGGTGATGTGCCTTTGCCCATTGTTCCGTTTCACCCCCACCCACCTGGTCCCCTCACTTCGTGTCCTCCTCATCCTCCCTCTCCTGTGTCACAAGCCCATCCTCTCCTCCTACAAGGAAATCTTCATGCCCTTCAGGTAACTCTCCCTTCAGGTAACTCTCCCTTCAGGTAACTCTCCCTTGAGGTGCACCTTTGCTTCCCACTCACTCCCCTCCCTTTCACCTCCCCCTCTGCTCTGTCACAAGAGCATCCTGTCCTCCTACAGGAGCTCCTCATGCCCTTCAGGTAACTCTCCCTTCAGGTGATGTGCCTTTGCCCATTGTTCCGTTTCACCCCCACCCACCCAGTCCCCTCACTTTGTGTCCTCCTCATCCTCCATCTCCTCTGTCACAAGAGCATCCTGTCCTCTCCTCCTACAAGGAGCTCCTCATGCCCTTCAGGTAACACACCTTTGCTACCCACTCCCCTCCATTTTCACTTGCGTTCCCTGCCTCTTTACGTCCTGCTTCTGCTGGTGCGATCAAAGACCAAGGATTTAGGGATCAAGCATGAGATTCGTTTGCCATACCTACTCAACATATTTCTTTTCCCTGCATCCCCCGCCTTGCCCCTGCCCATCCCGTCACCCCTGCTGCATTCACACAGGGAGGACCTAGTGAGCTTCCCAGAGTATCGCTGGTCTGTCAGCAGTTCCAAGCGAGTCATGCAGAATTTCTTCATATAAATAAACGCCTTCAGTCAAGAATTCTTAATCATCCTGTAGCTCCCCAAGGATGGTCTAATTTGATTAAATATCCATCACTAGTACTGTAGCTCTCTAGAATCTGGTTTGTGCCTTATCCGATCCCTCCTGGGAACACTACAGTATTTGGCTAGTCGCTCTCCCCAGCTTTCTTGCCATTCGATCGGTTCAGCCCCCCTACTACCACACTAGACTTTATGTGTTACGTAATTGTGTGCAGAATATATGTGGGAAGTGGTGAGGTACGGTAGAATGCCCAGCATTATTATATTTATGTGTGGTCGTAGTGGACCGAAATAACATGTAAAACTTTATTCTGACAAAAGAGGGTTTGTGAAGGAACAGTTGCTGCCTAACGAAGAACTCGTACTATAATTTGTACAGGGTTTCTTACGACGAAGCCGCTATCTGCGCTACAGCTTGATTCGTTGTCCTGTAGGTCCCTTAGCTGGTCCCAGCCAGTACAACCCACTCGGCATGTGTAAATCCATGTGTAAATCCATGTGTCCACGCCCCTTCAAGACACGGACGTTTAGTTATCTTAGCATGCGATGCGACCTTCGGTCTTCGCAGCAACGCGGTCAATCATACGTTGAGTGTGCGGAGTCGAGTCGACTCCAGATTCGCCTTCGGAGGAGCGCGGTCGATCGCGGTTCAACGCGGTTTGACGCGGTCTCACGGGGTTAGACGTGATCAGTCGTTTGACGTGGTCCTCAAATGTCCCGGATCGCCGCTCGAATGCTTCAGAGCATACGCCATGCTCCTCCTCAGAGTGTTAATTATCCACTTCAAGCCAAAGATTCGATATTTCTGTTAATTAGTCATGCTCCCTTTCGGATGGCGGGATCCGGTTTCTGGCCCAGTACGTCCGCTTCAGCTTCGGGTTCAGTTTTGGGTTCAGCTTCGGGTTCAGTTTTGGGTTCAACGTGCAGTAGCAACAATGCGAACGAGCCCATCTCTTGTATGCATTTCATTAACGGATTCAGTTTCGCAGCGTTTCGAAAGCAACAACAGATGTCGTCCAGTCGTCAGCTTCCAATGCTTTTATCGGATAGTACTACAGTGGACCGGATTTGCCTACAGTCCTTTTCGAGCTCTGCGCCGCTGCATAACAGTGCCGAGTCTGAGTCTGGGCTTATAGCGGGTGCTGAAACTGAAGGACGGGAAGGGAGGGATGTGGGAGGATCGGCAGGGAGGGAGGTCGGAGCGGAGGGAGCGAGGGCGAGGGATCGAGAAGGAGAAGTAAGAGAAGAAAGAAAAGGAGCAGGAGGGGGAGAAAGAGGAGAGGGAGGAGCAGGAGGTGAAGATGTGGTGATTGCGATCGGGGGGAACATCGGCAATCGCGTGGCGAATTTCCACCGAGCGTTGCAGATGTTGCGAGAGGTACGTCAAGGCTGGGAGGGGTGCGTCAAGGTTGGGAGGGGTGCATTGCACTGAACTGATTTCAGTGAGAGAGGGTGCGTGGTGGATGGGATGGGAGGGGTGCATTGCACTGAACTGATTTCAGTGAGAGAGGGTGCGTGGTGGATGGGATGGGAGGGGTGCACTGATGTTTGTGATACATGCCTGTACAAGCCGTGTTATGCTCAGTGCACTCATTCTGTGACTGGGTTGGGAGGAGCAAGTACGAGCCGTGATATGCCCTCAGGCAAGTGTGGGTGCCCTCAGTCCTCTGCTGTGCCTCGCCTCATTCAGGCAGGATTCCCCTCAGGATTCCCCTCAGGATTCCCCTCAGGATTCCCCTCAGGATTCCCCTCAGGATTCCCCTCAGGATTCCCCTCAGGATTCCCCTCAGGATTCCCCTCAGGATTCCCCTCAGGATTCCCCTCAGGATTCCCCTCAGGATTCCCCTCAGGATTCCCCTCAGGATTCCCCTCAGGATTCCCCTCAGGTTTCCCCTCAGGATTCCCCTCAGGATTCCCCTCAGGATTCCCCTCAGGATTCCCCTCAGGATTCCCCTCAGGATTCCCCTCAGGATTCCCCTCAGGATTCCCCTCAGGATTCCCCTCAGGATTCCCCTCAGGATTCCCCTCAGGATTCCCCTCAGGATTCCCCTCAGGATTCCCCTCAGGTTTCCCCTCAGGATTCCCCTCAGGATTCCCCTCAGGATTCCCCTCAGGATTCCCCTCAGGATTCCCCTCAGGTTCGCAACGCAAGCACTCTACCTGACACCCCCTTGTTTTCAGCCATGAGAGCTGAGGTGACTTTTGAGTCGACTCAAAAGTCACCAAGCACTCTACCTGACACCCCCTTTTTTCAGCCATGAGAGCTGAGGTGACTTTTGAGTCGACTCAAAAGTCACCAAGCACTCTCTACCTGACACCCCCTTTTTCTCAGCCATGAGAGCTGGGCGAGCTGCAACCCAGGAGAATTGTTTTAGCAGAAGATAGACAATTGGGTAAAAACAAACTCTACCTGACACCCCCTTTCTCCTCGTTCGCTGCAGGCAGGAGTGCAAGTGCACAGGCACGGGTGGCTGTACGACTTTTGAGGCGCCTCAAAAGGCAGGAGTGCAAGTGCACAGGCACGGGTGGCTGTACGACTCACGTTCTTCTGAACCGCACCCACCCCCCCCTCCCCCCCTCAACTCCTTCCCCCTTCTCTCCCCCTCATTTGCAGCGGGCAGGGGTGCAGGTTCACAAGCACCAGTGCCTGTTTGGGTCCGCGCCAGCCTATGTCACCAACCATGGCACAGGAGGCAGGGAGGGAGGGAGGAAGAGATGCCGTCACATTGCTGCCTCTCCCTCTGCTTTCCCCTCTATGTCATTTGCTGCAGGCAGGGGTGCAGGTGCACAAGCATGGCTGTCTGTACGAGTCCGCACCTGCCTATGTCACTGACCATGCCTCTCCAACACCCCCCTTCCCCTTCTCACCGTTTGCTGCAGGCAGGGGTGCAGGTGCACAAGCATGGCTGTCTGTACGAGTCTGCGCCTGCCTATGTCACCGACCATGCTTCTCCAACACCCCCCTTCCCCTTCTCACCGTTTGCTGCAGGCAGGGGTGCAGGTGCACAAGCACGGCTGTCTGTACGAGTCTGCGCCTGCCTATGTCACCGACCATGCCTCTCCAGCACCCCCCTTCCCCTTCTCACCGTTTGCTGCAGGCAGGGGTGCAGGTGCACAAGCATGGCTGTCTGTACGTCTCACGCTCTTCTGACGCCCCCCCCCCCAATCATTTCCCCCCCACCCCCCTCCCCCGCTGCAGGCAGGGGTGCAGGTGCACAAGCACGGGTGCCTGTACGAGTCCGCACCTGCCTATGTCACTGACCAGCCTTCTCCAGCACCCCCCTTCCCCTTCTCACCGTTTGCTGCAGGCAGGGGTGCAGGTGCACAAGCATGGCTGTCTCTACAAGTTACAACTCACGCTCTTCTGACGCCCCCCCCCCAATCATTTCCCCAACACCCCCCTCCCCCGCTGCAGGCAGGGGTGCAGGTGCACAAGCACGGGTGCCTGTACGAGTCCGCACCTGCCTATGTCACTGACCAGCCTTCTCCAGCACCCCCCTTCCCCTTCTCACCGTTTGCTGCAGGCAGGGGTGCAGGTGCACAAGCATGGCTGTCTGTACGAGTCTGCGCCTGCCTATGTTACTGACCAGCCATTTTTCCTCAACTCGGCTATTCAGGCAAGTCAACCCGTTTTCTCTCACTGAAGGCCCTCAACCCCACAACCCTCTTCCCCCCACCCCCTGCTCGTCAATGTTTTTACTTGAGATTTGAGTTGTACAACTTTGGCCGGATGGTTCTAGTTTTGAGGCGCCTCAAAACTAGGTTTCCCCCCACCCCCTGCTCTTCAATGCTTTTACTTGAGATCTAAGTTATACAATTTTGGCTGGATGGTTTTAGTTTTGAGGCGCCTCAAAACTAGGTTTCCCCCCACCCCCTGCTCTTCAATGCTTTTACTTGAGATCTAAGTTGTACAACTTTGGCTGGATGGTTCTACTGTCTCTTCTTTTCTTTAAGATGACTCTTGAGTCGACTCAAAAGTCATCTTTTTGAGTCGACTCAAAAGTCAAAAGTCAACTTTTTGAGGCGACTCAAAAGTCAAAAGTCATCTTTTTTAGTCGACTCAAAAGTCATCTCGTTGTACAGGCGCATACCACTGTTTTCTCTTCTTTTCTTAAAGCCCGACTGGAGTATCCTGCTAGCTCTGAGAGTCATTGGTGCGTTTCCCCCATTTGTTGCTGTCTCCACCTCCCCCTTCCTCCGTTTTTTTAGACTCCTCAAAGCTTTGAGGCGTCTCAAAGGCTGTTTTTCCAGGCACCTCATAAGTCTCCCCCATTTGTTTCCCCCATTGCTGCTGTTTCCACCTCCCCCTTCCTCCGTTCCGCTCCCCCAATGCAGGCCCACACATCTCTCCCCCCCCCCCACGCGCTCCTCTCTCTCCTCAAGTCAATCGAGTCAACCCTCAGAAGAGACCTCAACCGCTCTTCGCTCACCGCTTCGGCCCACATCATTCTTTCCCCCTCTCCATCCATTCTTCTCCCCATTGCAGGCCCGCACGACCCTCCCTCCCCACGCGCTGCTCTCTCTCCTCAAGTCAATCGAGTCAACCCTCAGAAGAGACCTCAACCGCTCTTCGCTCACCGCTTCGGCCCACATCATTCTTTCCCCCTCTCCATCCATTCTTCTCCCCATTGCAGGCCCGCACGACCCTCCCTCCCCACGCGCTGCTCTCTCTCCTCAAGTCAATCGAGTCAACCCTTGGGAGGAACCTCAACCCTCTCACTGCCCAACCTCCACCCGCGTGACTTCCTCCCCTGCTTCCTTACCTCCCCCATCCTTCATGTCCCCTCCTCCTTTTCTTTCTCCCCACTGCAGGCGCGCACCACCCTCCCCCCACGCGCTGCTCTCTCTCCTCAAGTCAATCGAGTCAACCCTCGGGAGGAACCTCAACCCTCTCACCACCCCAACTTCACCGTTGTGACAAACTTACTTCCCTGCTTCCTTCCCTCTCCTTCCCTCCTCCAAACCAGGCCCGTACATCTCTTCCCCCCCACGCGCTGCTCTCTCTCCTCAAGTCAATCGAGTCAACCCTCGGGAGGAACCTCAACCCTCTCACCGCCCAGCGCTTCGGCCCTCGGCCGTTAGATCTTGATCTGATCTTCTACGGATCTAGAACTATCCAGCCTGAAGAAACCGCTCCTGCTGCAGCTGGTTCTGCTGCTCCCGCTGCTCCTCCTGCTCCCGCTGCTCCTCCTGCTCCTCCTGCTCCTGCTTCCCCTCCTGCTCCCGCTGCTCCTCCTGCTCCCGCTGCTCCTCCTGCTCCTGCTTCTCCTCCTGCTGCTGCCGCTGTTACCTCTCCTGCCGTTGCTGCGCCTCCTCCTCCTCCTCCTCCTGCTGCTGCTGCTCCTCCTGCTCTTGTTACCGCAGCTACCACCACCCCGTTTGACCTTGAGGTTCCACACCCGCGCTTAGCCGAGAGGCTCTTTGTGCTCGCTCCAGTGGCGGACCTGCTGGGGTCGGCTCAGGCTGAGGACGAGGAGGAGGCACCCTCTTGGGTGTTCCATGAGGCGTTTGGGAAGGAAGGAGTGCAGGGGTGAGTGTTCCTGAGGTTACTCCTGGGGAGAGGGGGGACAATGAGGACAGAGAGGTGTCCTCTTGAGACGTCTCAAAAGGACACCTCTTCGTTTTCATTTTCCTCTACACGTGGAGAGGGAGGACAATGAGTTCGAAGAGGTGTCCTCTTGGGTGTTCCACGAGGCGTTTGGCAAGGAGGGAGTGCCGGGGTATGTGTGTTAATGAGGCGCCTCAAAACTAGCCGAGAGCCTCTTTGTGCTCGCTCCAGAAGCGGACGTGCTGGGGTCTGCTCGGGCTGAGGACGAGGAGGAGGCGCCTTCTTGGGTGTTCCACCAGGCTTTTGACAAGGAGGGAGTGCCGGGGTAAGTGCATTTTAATGAGGCGCCTCAAAACTAGCCGAGAGACTCTTTGTGCTCGCTCCAGTGATCGATCTGCTGGGGTCGGCTCAGGCTGAGGACGAGGAGGAGGCGCCTTCTTGGGTGTTCCACCAGGCGTTTGGGAAGGATGGAGTGCCGGCCGGGGTACGTGTTTCTGAGGTTCCTTCTGAGGCTCTTGCAGACTCCTTGTGGTGGATGGTGGATGAGGTTCCTGCTGGGGTGGGGTCTGCTCAGCACCTCAGGTCGAAGCCTCTGGACGAGCGGCTGAGCCTCTGGACGGTCCTGCTGGGGTCTGCTCAGCACCTCAGGTCGAAGCCTCTGGAAGCATCGTTTTTCAGGTTTTGATGAGGCTCGTCAAAACGAGGCTGAGAGGCTCTTTGTGGTGGCTCCGGTGATCGATCTGCAGGAGTCTGCTCAGGCTGAGGGCGGACAGTAGGTTCCCTCTTGAGTGTTCCATGAGGCGTTTGGGAAGGATGGATTGCCGGGCAAGCGTGGTGGATCGTGTTTTGAGTCGACTCAAAACACGACCCTCTTGGGTGTTCCATGAGGCGTTTGGGAAGGATGGATTGCCAGGGTGAGTGTTTCCTTTTGGGAAGGATGGATTGCCGGGCAAGCGTGGTGGACTGAGTTTTTCGTAAGCGGAAAGGGAAAACGATATGTTTTTATCTTAGTGTGTGTCTTGTGCTCTTTCTTTTGAAGTGTTTAGAAGTGTTTCCATACTGCTTTTCTTCATGTGTTCCCTGTTCATTATTGTCTTTTTGAGAATGTTTCTTTCCCCATTCCGTCAGTTCCTCCATCCCTCCAAATCCTCCAACTTGCAGCCTTTGGAGAAATCTGGGTGGAGAAGCAGCAGTGGGGGGAACAGACCTTAGGAGGGTAGTTCCCCTTGCGCAGCGGTTATTTAGAGGGCAGAGCGCGGGTCGAAAGGAAGAGGGGGAGGGGCCCCTGTGGGCGTGGGAGGGCCAGCAGCGGCCTCTGGTAATGGGGGTCCTGAATGTTACTCCTGATAGCTTCAGTGATGGGGGGAGATTCACCCGGGATGGGAATGGCAGTGGCAGTGGCAGCGACAGCACAGGCAGCAGCAGCAGCGGCAGTGGCAGCAGCAGCAGCGGCAGTGGAAGCAGCAGCAGCGGCAGTGGAAGCAGCAGCAGCGGCAGTGGTTTCAGCAGCAGGAACAACAGCAACAGGAGTGTATGTGTAGATGTGCAGGCAGCAGCAAGAGAAGCAGAGAGAATGGTGGCAGAAGGAGCAGGTATTATTGACATAGGAGGGCAATCCACCAGACCTGGAGCCACAGGAGATGCAAAGAGATTGAGCCACCTGGAAAGTTTCGGGGTGGATGTTGAAGCAGCAGTGAGAGAAGCAGAGAGAATGGTGGCAGAAGGAGCAGACATCATTGACATAGGAGGGCAATCCACCAGACCTGGAGCCACAGGAGATGCAAAGAGATTGAGCCACCTGGAAAGTTTCGGGGTGGATGTTGAAGCAGCAGTGAGAGAAGCAGAGAGAATGGTGGCAGAAGGAGCAGACATCATTGACATAGGGGGTCAATCCACCAGACCTGGAGCCACTCGTTTGTCGACAAATGAGGAGCTGACACGTGTCATCCCTGTCATCCAGGCCGTCAGATCGCGATCGCCAGATGTGATCATCTCAGTGGACACTTTCGATGCGGAGGTTGCCAGGTCAGCAGCCTTAGCTGGCGCTGACGTCATCAACGATGTGTCGGGCGGCACGATGGATCCGCAGATGCTGCCGACGGTTGCCGCCCTGAATCTCTCGTTTGTCCTGATGCACATGCGGGGAGATCCCACCACCATGCAGTCTTCCGAAAACACAACGTACAAAGATCTCATCGCTGACGTGGCATCTGAGCTGGCATGCCAGGTGGCAGCTGCTGAGAGGGCTGGGATTTCCCTGTGGAATATTATTCTGGACCCAGGCATTGGGTTTGCCAAAACAGGGCAGCAGAATCTGGAGCTAATCAGGAACCTCGGGCAGCTGAGAAAAGAATTGGGCAGGTGCAGGAAAGGTTTGGAGCATGTCCCGCTGCTTCTCGGCCCTTCAAGAAAAGGGTTTTTGGGCAGGCTGACCGGCCGGGCAGCTGGAAAGGATCGTGATTGGGCGACATGTGGAGCTGTGGCAGCATGTGTTGCTGGAGGGGCGGACGTTATAAGAGTGCATAATGTTGCTGCTGGTCGAGATGCTTCTGTAGTAGCAGCTGCTATTTTCAGAAACCCAGTGTTTACTTGTTGAGTCTGATTCAAAAGATAGCTTGTGTTGCTGGAGGGGCAGATGCTATAAGAGTGCATAATGTTGCTGCTGGCCGAGATGCTTCTTTAGTAGCAGCTGCTATTTTCAGGAACGTGGGGTTGCATGTTACAAAGTGAGGTGAGGAGCTAGGGTGTTACTGGAGGGGCGGACGTTATTCGAGTGCATAGTGTTGCTGCTGGCCGAGATGCCTCTGTAGTAGTGGCAGCTGCTATGTTCAGAAATGTGGAATTCTATGCAAAGTGAGCCGCTAAGGCTGTGTCGTAGTGCTTATGGTGCACATAATGGAAGCATTTGTAGAAAACCAAAAATCAAGACTGCACAACAAGCTGCCCACCGATTTCTGTAAGGGGTGTGAAGTTAATTCACGGTCTTGACTAGGGTAGCTTAGCAGAGCTCGTGTCTGTTGGAAACAAGTAATTTAACCCTTCTGATGTGTCGGAACATCGAACTGCAAACGAGGCACGTTACAGTGAAGCAACAGCGAGTCAACCAAGGAGGTTGACAAAACGTAGCAGCTGGAGGTTACGCGAAAGTCAAAGGTCGCCGACCTTTGACTTGACAACAGGCAGCGCGACAGCAAGGACAAACAACTGACTCGGTACTGAGCAGTTGCCCGAGTTGTCGCTGTATCGAACCGCAACAGCAACAGTAAAACAGTTGGTTGCATCTTTTCATATTCCTTTAATCATATAAAAGCTTTGTATTACTTTGCTATAATCAGTCTCTTGCTCTCACACACTAGTGCAAGTTGGTTCAATAGTTCACTAAAACGCTTCTGCAATTACAACATTCCTACTCAAGGTCTTAGCCTTGAAAAGATCCTAAGGGCTTTTTCTCAGCCCAACAGTGTCTACATTGAGCACACTGCATGTACGCGAAGATGGAGAAGTGGGTGCACTAATTCGAGCGGTTTCTCAAACAGGGAATGTGTATGTGACTTCCTACCCACGTCCAAATCTCATTTAGGGTCAGCTTTTGGAACCAGTGCTTTGACAACGCATTGCAGTGTAAGAGGTAGCTTGTTGCTAAGATTTTTGGTTTCTCCGCTGTTAGTTTCTCTGGTACAGTACAGCGCTTCGTTGTGGTGAGGTAAAACCTCCATTGGCGGAGTTCGAGTTACACTTTTGTCTAGCTGTACCCAAACCGGCGATGGAACCCTTCGACTTGAGGACGCAACACATTCGTATGAACGCGTTCTGCGAGTCAAACAATCGTTCACTACATTATTTCACACATCCCGGGCACGATGTGAGGGAAAGCTTCAATGGGAGTCCAGAAGCTGCCAAACCCGAAACCCATTTTGGTCCGCAAACCAGCGTTTTCAAACCCATTCTGACGACAACGTGGCGGGAAATTCGAATATGATTGGCTGGAAGCTTGAGTCGTGTTAATCGAAAGGGAAAGTATATCCCAGCTCCTGACTTTCAGATTTCTCTCATATTTAGCCCGAGGTTTACTCAAAAAGCACCACTTTCTATCATTTCTCTCACGCGAGGCCCAAAGTATGTTCAAAACTGGTCCTGCGGGGCGAATTTTTCGACACGTGTCCTCTTGTTACACCATCTGACGCATTTCCACGCATTGGAAATTTTGGAGGGGGCAAAAAACATAAAACCCCTAGGGAACCCGGACACATGCGCGGGAGAGATCAACCCTAAACACCTACCAGGTCCCGTGTTTAGGGTTGATCCCTCCCGAAAAATGTGTACTGGTCCCCTAGGGTTTTATGTTTTTTTTTCCCGTAAAAAAATTCCGGCGCGAAAACTGCCCTGACAAACGGTTAGTTCAGAGTGGAAGTGCGTCAGATGGTAACAAGAGGACACATGTCGAAAACTTCGCCCCACAGGACCAGTTTTGAACATACTTTGGGCCTCGCGTGAGAGAAATTATAGAAAGTGGTGCTTTTTTAGTAAACCCCGGGCTAAATATGAGAGAAATCTGAAAGTTAGGAGCTGGGATATCCTTTCCCTTATCGAAATTCAATTCTCGTTAGACCGCTTTTACATTACTGGAACCCACATCCGCAAGTTCCGATAATTATTGGTTTTTTTTTTTTTTTTTTTTTTTTTTTTTTTTTTTTTGTGAATGCGTGAGAATTGCACAAACTGACGGCTGTACTTTCCCTTTCCCTTTCCTTTTTCCTTCTCTTTCCACTCTTTTTCTCTTTCTCTTTCTCTCTTTCCGTCCCCACTCAACTTTGCTGAAGGGAAAAGGCGGGAAATGAGAGAAAGTACAACCGCCGGAAGACCTGCATGGCACGATACGCACGGAACCCGATCGAAACGTCCTTGCAAGACACCCCAGAAAAACGCCCCATCAAGACACCCCATCTAGCCCCCCCCCCCCCTCCTAAACCCATCATCTACATCCTCATGTCCACCAAGTAGGGCGCATCCGCCCACGGAGCATCCCACCCGACTTCCTCATCAAAATCATCCCGCTCTACCCAAACAACGTCTGGTCCCCTCATCATAGACGCCGCGCGTAACAAGATCACACACGCCTGAGCTCGCTGCAAAGCCACCCCTATGGCTGCTCGAAGTGATTCGAGAAGATACGCAGAAAAACTCTTTCCCGTGGCCCTCGCCGCTCTTTTCGTCTTTGCTACCTCAATCTGCGCGTCGCCCTGTTTCTTAAGCCATCTTCCAAAGCTCCCCCCCAGACATCCCCAGGTCTCTGCAATGAGAGGTGTGAACTGTACTCCCCTATGCCGCTGCAATAGAGATTTGTAATCCGCCGCCTTCCGCTTTTCCCTCTCCCTAGCGGCAAATCCCACCCTGCGACCGATCTGTCCATGGTGATGTGCTGACAGGGAGATAGGGTCTACAACACTAACCTCTAGCGCATGCTCCTTCCCCTCTCTCGGTCTCCGAACCGCCACATCCACTTTCTTCCCTGGCAGCAACGTGTCATCCTCCATAGTCACAACCCCACCCGCCCCTTTAGCTATCTTCGCCACCACGAACTTAACCGCGTCGTGAAACCGAGAAGGTGCATACTGATGCTTGCAGCGAAGGGCATGATGGGGATCAGAAGGATCAACAAACTCGACCCCGCAGACGCACTTGCCGGCTACTATCAGCTGCTGGATAGGGAGGTCTAGGCGCATGGCCGCACAGATGCTCCACTCGGCTGCGGTGAAGGTAGCCTCGTCATGCGATGGAACGGCAGAAACCCACGCTCCCGCCCCCAGGCCCTGAAGGGATGTCAAACGGGCCAAGGTGGCGTCGTCGTGGGCCATGCCTCGAAGAGACTGCAGGCTCTCGGCCGCTAGGCGACGGTGTTGCGTAGGGAAAAGCAGCTATGGGGGGTCAGCGATACACAAGGCAAGGGGCGGCATCTCCTGCCGGACTGGCTGTGGAAGTAGCTCCAACGCTCTCGAGAACCAGGGATCCAGCAACGTCGTAGCCTCGGGCGTGCGGAAAAACTCCTCAAACATCCGCTCCTCTCCTGCCACCCCCATTCGCGCCACATCGCTCGCTGCCTGGCACCAGCCACATGTGTACGACAAAGGACTGAGGTCAGCTGCAGAACGTATGCCAAATCCCCCCAGCCTGGCAGGAAGGTGTAGCTGCAGGCGGGCCATTTGCGACTTTCCCGCATCGTGATCCCAAGTACCGGGTGGAAACAGCTGCTCAAAACAATCCTCCAGGCCCGTGTCCCCGTCTCGGAAAGCCTCTACTACCCCTGGCCGCGGGGGCATCGTCCGCGTGAGATAGATCGGGTGCGCTGACACCGCGATCGCCAACAAGTGAGACGCAATATGTGGGTGGTCAAGCAGAGGAAGCCATGGGACGGGCGCCTGCAGCTCCGTCAGCCTCGCCCGAAGGCGAGCCACCTCCCAGTCCTCCTCCCCAATAGGAACGCCTACTAAAGTGAGCCCCGTCCAGGTTTGTTGCATGCCGGGAGGAATTGTCTCGTTCATCCCCTCTCCCTCCTGGTCCCCCCCTCGCTCCCATAGCTTGCACTTATGCGGCTGCACCTGCAGACCAAGCCCACCCAATCGTTCCCGCAAGACCCCATAGGCTGCCAACACCCGCCCCCTGGGCCCCAAAATATACGTATCATCGGCGTAGCTGAGGAAAAGGAGGTCGGAGAATTCCCGCTTGGTCGGCTCCATAACCAGCTGCTGGGTGAACGCGAACAGAAACGGCCCCAAAGGGTCCCCCTGCCTCGAGCCCCGTTCGGAAGCCAAAGCTTCAACAAAGGGGCCCGCGCGGAGGTAGAGGTCGCTAGAAGTGCCTTAGAAAACGCGCAAGAATGGAATCAGCCCTGCGAACGGCGACTCTCGGAGGCCCCCAAAACATTTCCCCCCGATGGAAGGAATTGAAAGCGTTCGCTACGTCAATTTGAAGCGCGCACCACGACGGGTGAGTAGAGATGGCGGAACGGAAGGCGTGTGTCAGGACTTCCACTCCTGACCTGGACCCGACTCCAAGCTGGTTACACGGAGAGAAGTGCGACAACATCTTCGGGCGAAGCACTATGCAAAGGGCCCTGGATAGTATGCGCGGGAGCACCTCGCCTATAGCCACCGGACGAACGTCACCATTCGGTTTCAACAAGCCCACAAGGTTGGACGCAGTGAGCCAGGGTCGCACGCGCTCCGCTACCTCTCCCTTGGTCCACCGGGTGAAGACTCCGAGCAAGAAGGGCATATATGCAGGCTCGGAGAGAAAAGTGTCACGCAGGTGCTCCGTCACCCACCCCGATGGTCCTGGTGCAGACGCCCTAGCCGCTGATTGGATCGCCTGGCCGAGTACCTCTACTGAAAGCTGGGGGATAAGGGACTCCTCGACTGTCGCCTCCTGCACCGACTCCGGTATGGCGGTCTCGCACGATGGGTGTTTGGCACGTAACGCGTCCACCATGTGCTGAGAGGGCTGCGCCATGCTGCCAGCTGTAAGACACACCAAGCCCCTAATCCATTCTCCCACTTTGCACCTTGTGCGACAACGAGCCAAGCGCACAGCATCAGGGTC